TCTCACTCTCACACACACACACACACACACAAATTCGATGTTTGTTGATTGGCCAGCAGGTGAGTACGTTGTGAAGTTTTTTTCCAGGTGATTCATGTTTGTTCACACTTTTGGACCAACTAGTAAAGTGCACGTGCGATTCACGTGGTGAATAATATTTTTGGTCGTAAGTTTAATAAGATCAATTAATTACTTTATTTAATATACGATTGAAGTAACAAAATAAATGTTGAACAAATAAACTCGTAATGTATTTTTTTTATTTAAAAAAATAACATAATGATGTTGTACCATAAAAGATTTAAATAACATCTTACAACCCCAACAATAATATATGAAAAATGAGTCCTTAACAAAAAAAAACACTAAATAACTAATACGGACGTAATGCATGTATATATGCATGCGCTTTTTAAATTATTTATGTTGGATTCATGAGAGATTTTCTTTGAGTTTTGATGTTCTCATCATAATCATTCATACTCGTTGAAGGGCAATACATCAGTAGTATTACAAAATTCTTCTTAAATAATTTGACAAAACGTCTGTTTTATTCAACACTTACAAATATTGTAGCCTAGCATATAGTCAAACTTTATGATTGCATATGATCATTATAAGGTACTTTTACTAACAATTTATAAATAACTATGTGAAATAACAAACCGTGTCATTCCAAAATCATGTACTTCTCTGGAGACGCTAATTATTTTTTAAAATCATCACATTGCATGAAAGTACGTACTCTAAAGTAATTGTGCAAATGACCGAGCACAATACACAATTAAGATTGTAAATGTTCTTATAAAAAAATGACAACTTATTCAAACATTCAAAAATATTTTGATGAGAATCAAACATTCCCTTTTTAGTGTTATCTATTTGAAATATACACGAACTACATAACCTATTATTTGCAAATCATTGGACAGTTTGGTTGTTGCAATGATTTGAGAGAGTTGCTTATCATAATACTTTCACATTCGTTCGGATTTCAATATTTATGTCTAATAACTTATTTAATGCATTTATTTAACTTATTTATTCATTCGTGCTTAAAAAATTCAAGATAAAGATCCTTTCTTGATTGTTCAATAATAATAAAAGAACAATGAGAGAATATTGAGAAGCATATCATTTGTCAAATTATTTCAGATGAGAAGAATTTAAATTTTATCATACTATGATACTCTTAGTCATCTGTAATCTTTATTATTACTAGTAAAGTGCACGTGCATCGCACGTGGTGGTGGATTTTTTTTACCTATTCAATTTAGTAAAATTAAATTAATTAATTTATTAAACATATCATTGCATGAACGAAGTAAAATATAGAACAAATAATCTTCTAATTTTTTTTAAATAATATAATGATGTCCTAATATAAAAAGAATGAAATAACATATTACAACCCCAAGAAAAATACAGTCCCCAACGGGGAAAAAGCACTAAATAACTAAATAAGGACCTAATGTATATTATAAATGCATTAGTTATTTTATTTAATTAAGTTAGATGATTAGAAAATATTTTTTTTTTTCATTTTGACGTTTGAACCAATACATCAATCGTACTGCAAATTCGTCTTAATTCGTTTGACAAAATGTCTACTTTATTCAAACACTTGTAAATATTTTGGCCAAATATATAGTCAAATTTCATGATTGTATGATCTTTTTAAGGTATTTCTACTAAGAATTCATGGATATCTTTGTAAAATAACCAACTGTATTATTGAATTGTTGATTTTTTTTTATCATTGTATAAACAACTTTATTACTATGTCCATATAGACATATTGATACCTACCCCATGGAGGCATTGCCCCACGGGGTGAAAATGAATTTCATCTCCAAATAAAAGTTGACTTTCCAAAATTTTAGTTACATGTATTTCTCCCGAGACGCTAAATTACTTTTTGAAATTATCACATTACATGAAAGTACATAGTGTAAAGTAATTGCACATATGTTTGAGCAAAATACACAACGAGATTATAAATATTTCTATAAAAAAGGGGACAATTTCATTCAAACATTCAAGAATGTTTTGATCAGGCTTCAACAATTTTTTTCAAATGTTATTTATTTAGAAAACAAACGAACTATATAATCTATTGTTTGCAAATCATTGATTATCTTGGTTGTTGCAATGATTTTAGCGTTGTTTATCATATATAATATATTTCACATTCGTTCGAATTTGCAGTACTTATGTGCATAATAACTTTTTTTAATGCTTTTATTGACCAATTTTATTTTTCATCATACATAATGCTTCGAACATTCAAAATAAAGATCCTTTCTTGGAAAAAAAAACAAAACAATGAGACAATATTAAGAAGTATATCATTTGTTAAAATATTTGAGAAGAGAAGAATTAGAATTCTATTATATTATGATACTTTTAGTAGCTCTGTGAACTTTATTATTTCCTATATATTATTAATTTACATTACGTATTACAAAGTTTTTATTTTCTTAATTATTTAAATTCTTGACAATATAGTATCATTATTTATGAGAACTAATTTCTTACAGAGTTCATATATTTAGACGCTAGAAAAAAATGAAGTAATTTTAAAAGGCTTTTGTTTCTAGATATTGGTATTAATATTTCTCTAAGAAAATTAAAACTTTTCATTTTCCCATTGAATTACTATTGTTTTATTTGTTTCTTATTATATTTACAAATAATATTTTTTTTTTAAAAGAATTAGAACACATTGATATGTATTGCGTCATTTTTTTGTACGTACTTATACAATGACGTTGTAATCAAAGTATCTTATTTATTAGGCTACAACTAATATAATCAAATACGATAAATACTATTTAATATTACGTATTTATTTATTTACAATAATAGTATATTTCACTACAATGTACTTTTGTACTGGTTATAAGATCTAAAAGTTTTTATTTTTCTATTTTTTGATAAAATATTAAATAATTAACTCATTTAAAATATAACTTATTTATTTTTCTTTTTAATTCGCATACTTAATGTCGGTAATATGTGTAAGTTTACACCTATTTTGTACATTTTTCTTATTTGTATGAATATTTCAAATATATGTAAGCAAAAGATAGCACAAGTTTATCTTATGCTTTTTTCATAGTTAATAAAATTTGTTTAACATGAATTTGTAATTTATTTTATAAGATACTTTGAGGTCCATTTATTATTCTAAATTAGTATTTATATATATACATATAATTTTATATCAATAGAAATAAGGATATTATTTTTATTTTATTTACAACACATTGGTTAAATAAAAAGTCATTGGAAAGAAATGGTGTGATATACACATCACATCACTTTAATTCAATATTTATTCACTCACTTAAGTTTAACTACCCTCATTTTCAATATCTCTCCTATACGTTTACACCACATCAACTTTAATTATTATATTTTAATTTTAAATTTTTTTTTAAATATAAATTCAAATCTCAATCAAACCAAACTCAGTCAACTTTTCATAAATTTAACTCACTTTATTCCATAAATAAATCAAATCCAAAATAACTTATATTTAATGTGTTGTAAATTTTTATTGTAGACATTACCTAGATATAAGTTTTGTAGGTTTTTGGACCAGAGCCCATTAAGTCATTAGTAGTGTACATTGTATTCCCCTATATATAGCTACAATAAAAGGCTCACAACCAAAGTTCAATTGGAGTGTCTGAAGCATATAGTGTTCACTTAAAAATGAGTTATTATACTTAAATGCCCAACTTACATATTTGATAATTAGCATAAACAATGCAACTTTTTGTATCACCACCAACCCGTACCTTTATGGGCCTATATTACAAACTAGGTATGCTATAGTTTTTATACTCCGTCGAATTTCTAATGCCTAGAGGCCATTATTGGGGACCAATTTATTATTTGGTATGCGTTTTGTATATATGAAGATGATTTCACGACATTAAGGGGAGATATGAGTATAAGTTTATTAATATCGTGAAATATGCGAAACATTTTCATTATTTGAAACCACGCAATAAAAAATTGAACTTGAAGTTCATATTATATTTCTGCCAAGCGAATGAAGTGATTAATTTGTAAATATATATAGATGTACCACAAAATAAGCGAATTCCCTAGGGAATGATTGATTCTTTAGTGCTAGAAGCATAAGGTGATATAATTAATATATGATAGTATGAAAGTCTACGGAAAAGGTATATTCGAGAATCAACACTCCATTATATGAAACTCCTGAAGAGTTGATCCAGTACATCTTGCACGTGCATCAAACCATTATAGTACTGGAAATGCGAAAAGGCCAAAATTAGATGATATGGGAAATGATTATAAATATGGCTAGTAAATATAAAGTTGAATATATGGTTGAGAGAAGAATATAAGTTGAATATCATAGTTTTCGACAACATACTTGCCAATGTGATTTATTTACTATCTCAAATAATGATCTGGATCAAATAGAATGGAAGTGCTGGAAGCGCTAAGGTTGATTGAGATAGAAAGGAAAATAAAGGCAGAGCTTTCACTCGCTACACGGTATATCCCAGGAAGATAATATATCCCAGAAGGACAATTAATATTTATATAAAACATGTGATGTGGTGGTGTGTTGTAAATATAGCGAGATTATGCTCATGGGTTTACGCAGAGACCCAGATATTTATTTAAATAAATTCTCTCATTATCAAATATTCCGCAAGTTAATATTTATGGAAACAATATTATCATGACTATTGAGTCATATGTGAAAGTCCTAGATGTTTCGAGTACCCGAGATAAAAGATATTAAATAATAAATCGTTTAATTATTTAAAGTTGTTGGTGAGATGTAGTACAACCAACTAAATTCTTCCTGAAGAAGTAAAATAAGAAATTCAAGGTAGAACCTTGTGTATAATTATAATATACAAAATGATCATCTCGGCCAAATAGATTATGTGGTGAACACTATGTAAAAGATTAAATAAGTTAACTCATGCTTATAGACGGAGTTAAAATGAAACTCTTGGTTAAAATACCAAAGAGTATTATCTCAACTTGTAGATCGAGCATCTCCTAGAAGGAGTATTTTTGACCCAACAATCTACTTAAATCTCTTTTTAGAGATGTGAAATTATAACACCAATTATTGTCAAATATTTGAAATGTGACAAAGATTTATAAAGATTCATAGAAATAAATAAGGATATTATAGGACCTGAAGCTCCAATGGACTTGAAGTCCACAAACGACATGAAGTTTATTTATTAAGTGGAATTGTATTGAACTTTTATCACGTGAACTACATCAGGCCTGATACTGCATTTGCGATAAATTTGCTAGCAAGATTTACTATTCTCTTCTTAAAGAGATATTGTGATAAATACTGAGAATATCCCATTATGTTTTCATTGCGTTGAGTTATCTTTGGACTTGGTATATGATATTGGTGAATAAGGATATCAACTGTGTAATTGATCCCCGAAATATTGGTTCATCGATTGGTTATATCTCTGAAATGGTATTAACCCTATTATCAATTGTTATTTGAAATACCCCCTTAATTATCTCGAAGACAATATAGCTTGTGTTACACAAATAAATTATTGAATTATATTTGATGGTATTTCTGAATCTATATTAACTCCGGAAGAGCAAGAAAAGTATTATGATAATTTCATTATAGAAAATTATTACCTTGAGGGGGAGCAACATACAATTATGAATGTAACTAGAAAGGATTTTGCCTTCAGGGGGAGCGATATATAAATTTCGAATATCGAGCCCAAAAGGCTAATTGTAGTCTTAAATATTAGGCCCTGGTGGTCGGTGCTGTACTCTTTTTCCCTTATCTAAGTGTTTTTCCCATTGGGTTTTTACTTGGCAAGGTTTTCTTAACGAGGCAGCAAGTGTAACACATAAATTTACATATGTCATGTACTCTTTTTCTCGACTACTTTTTTCCCACTGGGTTTTGTAGCGAGGTTTTTAACGAGGCATAGACATGATGCGGTAATGTCCAAGGGGGAGTGTTGTAAATTTTTATTGTGGACATTACCTAGATATAAGTTTTGTAGGTTTTTGGACCAGGAGCCCATTAAGTCATTAGTAGTGTACATTGTATTCCCCTATATATAGGGCTCAAGTGAATGAATAAGAAGATGGTTTTTACGATTGTCTTCTCTATTGTTCTTTCTCTGTTCTCTTTACTGCTTTCTCTTTTTCTTACTCATGATATGATTATCTATATTACAATATAATGAAGCTCTAAGGTTGTGTTCGGATAAAAGATTTTGATTGAATATTTTTGGTTTGATTGATTTTTTTGGCTAACTAGAGTTATTTTTTGATAAAGTTGATTGAATTATGTATGAATGAGATTTTTAGTTTGTGTTAAAATAATAATTAAAATAAAATAATGAAAGTTAATTTGATATAAAAGTATGAGAAATATGATTAGAAGTGATTTGTAGTTAAAAATATGTGAATGAATAAATAATGAATTAAATTTAATGTAGTATAATTATTATATTGATAATATTAAGTAACTTATGTTTAACATAAATTTGATTGTAATTGGAAAAATCCAATCACACCTTATATCCAAGCACTACCTTAATGGATTGCGATTAATTTTCACCAAGTGGTAAGCAACTTGATGTCGTTTAAGAAATGTCTCGGGTTCGAATCATTGTGGATGCATAAAGTCTTTGTTGAGACTCACCCATCACTGCCAAGTGTGCGACCCGGGTCGACCAACGAATTAGTTAGGACATAGCTCCGAATACCGTGGCTGGCTATAATAATTAAAAAAAAATCGCTTTTGACCGGTTTGCTTACGCCGCAGGTTTAGTGGAGCAAAACCCAATCGGTCGAGTGTTGTCCGACCGATGTACCAGTTTGGTTTCAACAGTTTGACAATCATGATAAATAGAGAGGAATAGGTTCTCTCACATTATTTTATCACTCTGAAAAAAAAAGGACTGAAAATGGCGGACGCGAGTGAGACAATCAACTCCTCCATCACCAAACAATCAGCACCGCACCCGGACCCCGCAGCGGCCCTGGCCGACGCCCGCCACGAATTCGGCGAGCACGGCGGTGTGAACATGTCGATCGAGGCCTCCGTGACCTTCACGGTCATGGATCCCGACGACCTGCGGCGGATCAACTCCGGCGAGCTTGGCCCCGAGCAGGGAAACTACATCTACAGCCGCCAGAGCAATCCGACGGTGCACGCCCTCGGCCGCCTCATGGCCGCTCTCGAGGGCACCGAGGCCGCCTACTGCACCGCCTCCGGCATGTCCGCCATATCCTCCGTCCTGCTCCAGCTGTGCAGCGCGGGGGACCACGTGGTGGCCTCGCGCACCCTCTACGGCGGGACCCACGCGCTCCTCGGCGAGTTCCTGCCACGCGCGTGCGGGCTGCAGGTGTCGCGCGTGGACGTCAGGGACCACGAGATGGTGCGACGGGAGATGGTGGCGGGGAGGACCAAGGTGCTGTACTTCGAGGCCATGTCCAACCCGGCGCTGACGGTGGCTAACGTGCCCGAGCTGTGCAGGATAGCGCACGATAAGGGGGTCACGGTGGTTGTTGACAACACTTTTGCCCCCATGGTGATCTCCGCCGGGAGGCTCGGTGCTGACGTCGTCGTCCACAGTATCTCTAAGTTCATCAGCGGTGGCGCAGATATACTTGCAGGTTTCTTCCTATTTTTTTTTTTTTTTTCAATTGTTATTTTTATCTCTCTCATATATCTGAGATATCACTAATATAAATACATCTTTTTGACCTTTTGGATCCGTAGTCACGGCGTAGACAAAATATAAATAAAAAATTGACTGTATGCTACAAAACATGTAGTCGTTATTCGAATCGAGTTATCCAATTAGTTTAATTTGGTTCGACTTGTGAAATATCTAACTTGACTCATTTATTTATTTACACGAGTCAAGCTCAAACATTTAATCAAACCTTGCCCATGAGATAAGTTGAGTAAAACGAGTTCGCGATCAAATCGATTAGAGTTTCGAGTTTGGTCTAGATTTTAATGTTTCCTAATTGAGTTGAACCAATATAAGCCGATCTCAAGAGTTGGAAAGAGAATTAATTTATGTTTATGTATGTAACTCAATTATTTAATCCAAAATTAATTTATCTCATTTTGGTCTATAGATAAGATTATACTGAACTACTCCAACTAATATAACATAAATTAAAATATATTTATACTAGTATAAATTTAATATAGTGAAAAATTAAGACCGAATTGGAGGAAAAAAAAATATGATACGGACAAAAATGTTTAATCAAGTAGTGAGATTAGATATATGACTAAAATCATAATGAGTTGGAAGGTAGGGAAGAATGTATGTACGTTATAGAGAATGACCGTCCAAATCGAATCACAAGAAAAGCTTTCTTGTGGAAAAAGTTTAGTGCGTTATGATGGGTCCAAATCGATTCACAAGAAAATCTTGCATGATGGATGTGTCCCACACCCACTCCCACTAAATCATCTTGCTATGCTCAAAATCATTCCAATGTTTGAATGTCTAATTTAATTTAAGGAAGGTGGATCAAATGAATACACTTTTTAAAATGATAACTATTGATATTGTTTAGATCAATGACTCATATTAATTTATGAAAAAAAAAGATTCATTGATGCAGACCCTAGTAAGATATTGTCCGCTTTGGGCTACTTTCGCCACCCGCACGACTTTGTTCTTGGCTGGACTTCAATACACACCCACCAAAACGCGTCTTACTAGTGAAGGTATCCACACCCTCAATAAGGCCTGCTTCGTTTCCTTTCAAACCCGATGTGGGATGCGCTGCATCATCCACCCCCCCTTGTGGGCCCAGCGGTCACCGCTGGCACATGGGCTGGCTCTGATACCAACTGATGTAGACCCTAGTAAGATATTGTCCGCTTTGGGCTACTTCCGCCACCCGCACGACTTTGTTCTTGGTTGGGCTTCAATACACACCCACCAAAACGCGTCTTACTAGTGAAGGTATCCACACCCTCATATAAGGCCTGCTTCATTTCCTTTCAAACCCAATGTGGGATGCGCTGCATCACTCATATTAATCAATTGTAAATACAATAATTAAATAGTAAAAAATTAGTATTATATTTAAATTAATTATATAATAAATAAAATAATTTATTTTCGAATTGACTGTCGTCGGCGGTCGTTGGCCGACCAGAACAGTCTTCTCGAGCCCCTACAACAAGACTCGTCGGACCCTACAACAGCCGCACTCACCGGCCGCGCCAGCCACTAAAGGTATAGTCAGTTGCGCCAGCCACCCGACTGCCTCCTCGCGGTCCCCGTCGGCCGATGCTTAGGAGGACAAAAGGGACGCGATCGGGACGATACCTGCGATTTTGACGGGATTTCGACCGTGACAAAAATAAAATAGCCAGGTCACCAGTATTTCGATGGGACTTCAACCGGCGAATTTCCATCTCAACCTGCCCACACCTAAGGAGGAAGACCGTCGTGCCTCTAGGTTTAGGGGATCAGCGGTCGGCTCTCGTCTTCTCACCGTCGACACTAGTGGGTTGTCACTACTGAGAGGAGAGGATGATGCCCGAAGGGGTTGACATATTGGCCGACTCTCGTCTTCTCACTGTCGCTGCTGGTGGGTTGCCATTACTGAGAGGATAGGGCGACGACCGACAAGGTTGACAATTTGGAGTGACAGGTGAAATCGAATTTGCGATTTGGGGGCGAGGGCTAGTTTGTGAAAATTAGACAAATTCTTAGGATTTAATTTCAATTTAAGAAACTAATAACTTATTGCATTTTGATCCTTGTGTTCAATCCGTAATTTATTTATAGTTTGAATAATTACAATATGGCCTTAAGTTTTAATATTATATAATTCATGCAAATTAGTGTGTAATCGACCTCTGGATGGGCTTACACGACCTGGCCTGCTTCTAACCTGTTCGTAGACCTGCAAAATGGATCGGGAGGGGTTCCTTGCGTTAGCACTCTGACGATCAAGTCAATCACAAGTGAAGATGATGAACAGTGCATGAAAGCTCTATAAGTATAGAGTATTGTAGAGAATGTAATATTGGAATGGACATACCTCATCCCTATATATAAGGTTGTGTTGCCTTGTTGTCCGACACTGCCTGTAGAAGCTGCCCAAACTGCCAGTACTGTCTGAACTACCCAATTTTGTTAAGCCATGTGGCCCTATCCACGCGTGGTTCTCATGTTAATAATATTATTTCTCATCCATTATTTTTCCTTATTAGACGGTCTAATTGTCCAACCAACCAAGATCACCTCAAAGTGGAGTGTTGCATGTGCTAAGCTCATATGCTTTGCTCGTCTGGTCGATCATCGACCAGTCACACTTTAGTTCAAGTTTCAACCAGGCCATCCAAGGTTCGAAACTCGACATATCGGTACTCTTTTGATCTTGCAACGTCCTCATCGACCTGTGGCTTCCTTGTCTATAACTTCGTTCGACCAATCGGTTTAGCCATGCCTGGTTGACTGATTTGTCGGGTCTGTTCAATCTGGTATGGTATCTCATATCATTTGGTCCCCCCACTTTAGTCGAGTTAAGATAACTCGATCTAAGAGTAGATTTTTGTTTTTGCACTTGCTTGGTGAGTTGCAACTTTTATTATTCATCCAGACTGCTCAAACTTTCTATGATTCTGCAATGATGTTTTCGACCTCCCTCTGAGGTCTTGAATTCGAATTCTGTAATTCAAATCCCTGGTCCTTGTCAGACAAGTCAGTCTAGACGTCATGTCGACATAATTGCCTCATAGTCTGTGTTGTCTCATCAGCTTACCCATTTTAATCCTGACCGCTGGTTTCGACTACAATTTAACGGCTCTGCTCCACCTGTTCTTTCAACTTCGCCCCTTTTGGTCTTGACCATTGATTTCGATCATAATCCAACGACCAAGGTTGATCAACCTTCGAGATTCTTCCACCTATAAATACACCCCTTCGCCACTTTGTTCATGTTTCCCACCTTTGCAATAATTCATTTAAGATTATTTGTGCTCTCCCCATGTTGTGAAAATAAAAACCTAAGTTCCGTCGTGCTCCGCCGTGCTCAGGGATGAGTAAGCCATCTTTATCTTTGACTTGTTAATCTTGCATGCTTGATTTGGGTTCTCTTTTTCTTTCTTCATCTAAAAAACTCTCGGATTGCAAAATTCCTCATGTTTCTGACTTTCTTCCAATTCCTAAATTTTCTATTTTATTTCTTTTGTTTTTCATATATTCAAACGTCCAACGAGGCCTAGGTTTTTCGGTCAAGATATGACCCTTCCTTCATCTTCTTCGACCTCTAGGCCTCTGTTCACTCTTTCTACCCCCTCCACAGAGGTAATTCCGCAACCAATCCATATATCTTCGATCCTTGCTCCACCTTATCTAATCTCGCCCTCTTCTTCTCGGCTAACCAGTCCTTTCCCCTTGCATGACCTTCTCGTGGACCCCTTAAATAGATCGATAAGCCTGATTTTGATAGGAAGACAACTCTTTGCTTCGATCTGCTCCGCTTTTTTTTGCCCCTCTGCTTCAAGCCATTCCTTCGACCTCTCAGGCTTATCCGTCCAAATGTTGAGCCCTTCATTGTAGTCGAAGATGATGATAAAACTGATGAGGAGATCGAGATGGAGTCTCATCCTCGCCTTAACCCTCCAGTTCAACATGCCTCGTTCGCCAACCGAGCGACTTCAACTGAGCCAATCCCGAACGGCTTGAAGAATTTTTTATCGTTCTGGTCTGCCTGTTGACTTAGGGTACACCATTCCTCGACCATCAGATGTGTACGAGCAGCGGCGGATCCAGAAATTTCCACCAGCCAGGGCAAAAGATAGTTCGAAGAAACTTTTAACCATACTGCACAAAATACTTATATTAACAATTAAATAAATCGTTGAAATAATCGGGTGTTGAGAAGTTCCCTATTTAATTTGCGTTTGACTTGATGCTAAAAAATGAAATTTAGAATGATGTCTGGATATTTTATTTTACGTTTTTATTAGTATTAAGAAATATACCAAAAATATTTAATAATCCTTTTTCTTTCATTTTTTGGTAATAAAAAATAAACAAGCCATTTTGAAAAATAATTTATTAATTTAAGAAAAGCCTAAATGTCATCATTTTTGTTCTTCTTGTTTTTATAAAGAATTTCTTGTTGATTGTCTTCTTATAATTAAATGTATAGTTTTTCATTGTTAATTTCCAACGCTTTGTAGTTCTATATGTTAACTCCTAAGGATTCTAAATGGTCCATACAAATATCGATCTTTATCCAAAACTTTTATATTTAAACGCTTGGGTAACTTATATTGTATATATATTTTAAAATTCAATAACATTTGTATATTATCATCTTTTATATATCATAACTTAAATTAGTCATATTTTGACAATATATAATTTGACATTCATATTTTATAGGTAAATTAAAATAATTATACCTATCTGATCTCTATCAATAAAAATTTATATATTTATCAATTATAATTGAAAAAAATAAATTTATCTATCAAGCTTATTATATGGCATCAGTACTAAAAATGTTAGAATGTAATATCCTCGAATCTAGCCGGTGAGGTATATCAACTTAAATAAAAACACGAATCTAGCCGGTGAGGTATATCAACTTAAATAAAAACAGTAATGTTATTTTATAAAAATTATTTAAATTTTAAATAAAACATTGTATTATAATTTTTATACATATTAAATATAAATATTTTATTAGCACATATTAACTATATTAGCACCAAAAGTTGAGCCTAGGCAATTGCCTAGGCTCGCCCATACTTCC